ATAAAAAAATATTTTGAGTAGATCGAGTCCGAAACACAAATTTGCAATACTAATAATCTAGTACTTGAAAACGAAACTATATAAACCTTTTTTAATCCAATATTTTTTAAACAAGTTAAAATATGTGCAAATTTTGAAAACATGCAGACGGGTTAAAAGATCATATAAATCACAAACAAGCAACAAAGGTTAAAAAATAAAAATTTACAATTTTAGTGATCGAGTCCAAAACCGTGTAAAAACAGACATAATCCAATATATATATATATATATATACTGAAAGCTTTCAGATTTTACATTGTGCCTAAAGGGGCGTATTTTTTGTGTGTGTGTTACCTTTATTTATTAATTGTCATATTCTTCAAACTTAAGCCATAAAATTCAGGTCAACAACAGTATCGCAAAATAATGTTAATGAGCATATGTTTAGAATGTCTGATAGATAGTCTTTCGCGCTGGATATAAAAACGTTTTTTATTCATACAGTTTTGCCATTGCTTGCTCTGAAATCGTTGAGTTTGTTTATCAAAAATTCGTTAAAGTGTTACAAAATATGAAATCGATAACAAAACAAATTCCAAATCAGGGCTTCGAGATGCCCATTATCGACGGAGGATTGCGTTATTCACAATTGATTAGCTTTACGTACCGTTGTTTTATCACAGTGGGAGAAACATACATACATTTATGCAGATTTTTCATTATTTAATTTCGTTAAATATAACACAGGTCGATAATATTTGGTAGCAACAGTTTGAAAAGCGATACAGACATTTACAGTGAATCGACGCAAAATGCGAAAACGGAATTAATAGTCCTTCTGGAATACGCCCTTTGGGTTAATGAAATGAATGAAAATGTGGCCTAAAAATATAAAATAAAAAAATAAAAGCTAGAGGAGTTAGATCTTAAAATCTGCAACGCAAGAGCAGCAAATCTTTTAAAATGAAAAAAATATATTCATCTGTCTAATAATAAAGCCCGAATGTGTTATGTAATGGATTTAGAGATACAACGAACTTTAAACTGATTAAACTTAAAAAAGAATAATTAGAAAAAATTTCATTGGACATAAAATAAATGTAGTAATAAAATGAATAATTTGAAAAAAAAAAAAAAAATAACGAACTAACTGGATTAGGAATCCAAAAAGATTGCAATTCTAGTTCAATTAAAACAGCATTTTCAAGAGAAGTAATAATTCACTTCAACTCAACGTATGGAATGAATATATGAATGTAGGATATATATCTCATGATACATTTCTGGTACATATTTCTCAATATATGTTCAGTAATGTATCTTGCAAGATTTCTTCAGAAATTCCGTCTTTATTTTTGACGGTTTTTCGTCTGACGCAATACACCCCAAATACTTCTGAAGGGAAACCAGGGATCATGAATATCTCGGTAACATGGGACACCATTTGAAACAAATTCGTATTTGGAAGTAACTCAGTATTTCGCGGAAAGCGCGGATAAAATGCAAGAACGTGACTCCATTTATTTTAAATTTCAAATAAAGAGGACGTTCGCATATATTTTAGCCAGTTTTATCCAAGAACACACCTTCTTTGCGTAAGATATATTTTTAGGAATGTTTCCTTAAAGGTAAATATCTTCCAAAAAATTTAACTTTGTAAGTGGTAGTTCTCGGATTGTTGAAATGTATTTTATTTAGCATATGCAGCTGGCGTTTTCAAGTTTTTTTTCCTGAGGTAAAAGGGATAGTAGACGTTAAAGTAGTATATGTAAAACTTGCTGCTGAGAGAAAGCTCAGGTTCCATGTGTGGTGCAGTATAATACGTAGGAAAGGAAAACAGCCAACATATTACTTATTCCTTTTTTGTCCCGGTGAAATGTATTGGTATTTTATATGTATTTGAATTTCGTGACAAACTTTCTTCACATATTTACACATATTTACATTATATAGATATTTACATTATACAGATAATAATTAAATATTTTACGTATTTCTTGAAATAAAAATCCTTAGAAAATCTGCTGTTTGTTTTGAAATGATTATCTGCTGTTTAGGATCGAATCCAGGAAGTTTTCGTTTGAAACAAGCGAATTATCATTTTGTCCTATATTATGTTCACTGCTTTTTAAAAATACTTTAAATTTAGTGGTTTTTAATGCTATCCTTCTTTGCTCATCATTTGTGACCTGAGTGCTGTCTGAACCTGAATGCTTAGCAATTAGATTCCTAGAGTTCGGTCACTTTAGGAAATTAGAAAAGCTTACGCACAGAAGCATAAAACGTATGTTGCAGTGACTGACAAATCTGGGTGTCACTTACCATTATTAGTCTCTCTTTCTGGTATTTTATTTATTCTATGAATATTTAATGTTCTTTCATATTATTCTATAAAAATACTAATATTAATCTCTATTTATTGGAGAAGTCAAACAAGAAGAATCAGCTTTACTATATATCTGTGAATTCTTCAGAACTAGTTTCGATGGTTGAACTACAGAACCATCTGTCTCAGCTGCCAAAGTGCAAATGAACGAGATAACATAAGATAAGAATAGTTGGACAAGAATTAAGCTACTGGCACCATCTATTGATGAAACAAGAAAACTAAAACATAATTTCCTTAAAGGCTGAAGGTAAAGATGGATTTGAATTAAGGTCGTTAACTAGAACAGAACGGTTTTTTTAATGTGAAACGCCTCTAGAAAATCTAATTCACCAATGGAAGACGTTTTCTGATTAATTTTGGAAAGCAGAAAAATGGAAAGTGTGATTTTCGGGCCAACAATGCTGGGCAACAGAGGAATTGTGTCTTTTCCTAACCTATGCCTCAAGTTGTTTAACGAGAAATTTTAAGGCTGTTTTAATTTGGCCAATGTAAATTAAACCTCAAAGGCAGGGGATCCTGTAAATACCCCAGGAATTCACATCCAGATCGAGGTCCTTAAGTACGGAACTGGGGATTTTATTGATAGGAAAATTCTGTAGTTGCCGATTTTAGGGTAGCTTCACATACATGGAAATGTTTTTATTTAGGTATCTTCTTCCTCTTTTCTGCATGCCTTCCTGGTGTAACTGGAAGCATACTGGACTCTATCCAGGGTTCCTGTTTCGGCAAAGGCATCGCACATTTTTCACATCTGCTTCAAATTAACCTAATGACTTTATAATGTTTATAATACAGGCAGACTCTGAGCATTGTAGTATGAAGAATAAGATAACCAAACCTTACTTAATAATCTACATTACATTCGTAATTAATTCGGTTTATTTTAAATATTTACTCTGATTAATCTCGTGACACTTTGTTGTGGCATGTGATTGTTTAAACAAAATCGTGTTCAGTCGGAAAAAAAAATTCTGATAACCTTCGCGCCATAATGACGGTAAATACCGCCTCGTTCAGATGATCCCTTATAAATTTTACCAATTAATATTCGACATAATACAGTTTTGCGTTATTTCCTCTTACATATTATTTCCTAGATTGTTTATTGGGCATTTTGTACAATTCTTGAAAAGACAGATGCATGTTTTCCGACACAAATTTTACGTTACAACAATAATACGATTTTGTGTTGAAAGTGAGGGCATACAAGTTCTTTAAACACGTTTCCCTCGGAAGTGCAGTTTTAAAGATTCGCGATTTTGGCATGGTGCCAGCGATATAATAGTTGTCAAACCACAAACCAGAATATCTGTAAAAAAGGCATGTTGCCAGTCTAAGTACTATAATCATCGATTTAAGTTTCGTCATATAATGTATGTCAGCAAAAACATTTCACGTTAAATTAAGTCAATGAAGTTTTTAATTGCGTGTTATCAATTGCAGGAGAATAATATAAGTCAACACCTTTCATGTGTTAATTTCGTTAAAATAATAGCTGGAAAATCAGAATATAAATTCCTTTCTCCCCCCTTCATTTTCTTCCAAAGAGAACATTATGCGCTCATACTATTATAATGTAAGCAATTTGACATTAGAGGCCTTTACATTTTTAAACTGCAAGCTTTCGTTGTTACCCAACGAACTTTGCTGCGAGTAAAATAGCGAACGTAAAATTTTATGAATGAGTTTTATAGATTTTGTTAAAATGAAAACTGATAAAATTACATGAATTTCAACAATTTTTAAAGTTTCTTGCTAGCTTATACACGTATACGTTAATAGTTCGTTAGTTCGTGTTCGTCGTTTTGTAAGCATAGAAATAACTGTTAAAATGTAATCTGAAAATTAACATATAAAGCCTGTCAATAAGGGCTTGTATATTGTATATATATTCGACTGGACACCAAATAGCAAAAATGGTTTTGGATTTGTTTTGTGAATGAAGAGAAGACTACCGTATATTCTGGCATATAACGCGCAACTATAAATTCAAACTACATTTTTAAATTGTTCAGTAACGTTCCTCTTAAAACGCGCACCCTTTTTTTACGAAGAAACCTGAAATGTACATGAGCGGCACTCTTATCTTTTGAAGTCATTGATTCGAAGATTTTCCCCAGGGTTTAGAATAATGGTATATCGAAATAACAAGCGATAAGGGGAATAATACGTGTGTAGGGAAATGGTTGAGGGAGTATATAACTCTGCAAGTTACAATTTTATTATTTGGCAGTTACAACTAATTAAAAAAATATTATGCCAGTCTAAGTACTATATAAAATTTATATAAAATTTACATTTATATAAAATTAGTTACATGAAAAAAAATCCCGATGGTAAGATTTGGATCAGATTTCAAATCAGTGCAAAAAATACTGCAAATTGTAGCATTTTAAGGCTCTGCAATATATAAAATAGATTAATTTTCGGAGTTCATTGCTGCTGAAACCGTTTATTATCTTATAAAGATGCTAAAAGTTATTTTTCTAAAATATCTCGGGAGATTTTTATCACGATAATAATTCTTTAGCAAGAAAAACCTTTTTACATTGAACAACCTAACACATATTTGTTCTATTTTGATTGCAAGCACAAACTTTTCTTTTAACTTAGGAAGACACTACCGTACCGTAGCTTTTCTTCCACCTGACTTGAGGGACTGGAAATCCGTTGGCTTGACAGTCTACTGTGAGGCTCTCTCCCATTACAGCTGAGCGGTCAGTAGGCTGAGTTCTCCAGTAGGGGGGAACTGCAAAAGGAAAGAAAAATGAATAAGATACGTAAGAAATTGAAAAAAAAGCAAAGAAGAAAATGAGTGAGTGAGAAGGAATTCGGATGTTCTGGTCTCGGTGATGGCGTCTGGGGATTTGGTAGATGGAACTTAGCCATTTGTAAAGTGTCAAATCCTCAATCGATAAACCTACTGTCTATGAAATCATGAGAATATCAGTTTTCGCTACTCTGAAGGAGATATACAGTGAATGAGTGTATTTTTAAGGACACTCATCATTCTTATGTCATTTATTGGACTGACAGTAATTATTACCGTTTATTTTCTGTTACCTTTTAGGAAGTCAATAAAAGGCCGTAAAAAATTCTTTATTTTTACTGTATGCTGTGGATATTTGGTGTATTACCAAATACCTTTTCCACAGTTTCCATTACGGTAATTATATATTTCGATTGCACAAGGATTTAAATACATTGCATTTATTCGATTCTGAATCTAGTTGGAATGAATGAAAAAGCATTTGAAGCATTATAGGTATTTTCTCCTCTTTTCGAGTTTCGCCGAGAATATTGCTCATTTTTCGTGTCTCATACTTCAAAATATCTTAATGACTCCACAGTAGCGCCCGGACTAAAATGTGGTGGATGATGATTTTTCACCACTATTTGGCAAATGAGTTCCCTAATCCCAAGTCGCCCTTTAAAAGGTGAAGTATATAAGGTATCAAAATTATCAGAAAGGGCGCAGTCCGATCCACCTAACTAAACAAGTTGGTCTCATGGTCATAACAGGTCACGCCCAATTCAACAAAGGAAAATAATTGAAACATAAAATATCTAAATGAAAATAATCGTGTGTTAATTATATTTAAAAACATAAATTAGAAAAAAAGGACAAATACAAACATCTAAACAAAAGCAGACACCAAAAAAAAAAAAAAAAAGCGAACAACAAACAAACAATTGATACAAAAAATTAGTAAAATATTTCAAGTAGTGATGGCAATAAAAAGGCAAAAAATCATTCACTGATTCCCACTGCCCGGCGGTCGCCGTTAATAATTTTCCTAACAGATTTTCATAATTGTGCGAAATCTTTATAGCCTAAAATGGGATTTTCAAAATCAATTTTTTATTGTTTCTTAAGCTAATAATGTTCGGAATGACCTCGAGAAGGTTCTTAGCATCACTAAACAAACCATATAGTTTACATTTATCGTCATTCTGTATCTTAAACTTAGCGAAGTATACCGGGAAGCGTATTTTACAAGTGCACATCTATATAGCCACCAAGGGAATGGCTTCTAGGATGGACCAATGGGCATCCAGTAATATTTCTGTCATGTCACATGACCTTTCGTGCACTTAAAAAAATTTAAGCAAGACGGTTGAATATATTTTACCACTCAATTTTCTGTACAAAATAATTAAAGCATCGTGATTTCTTCTCAAAATTTTCATTGCGAATTAGATCTATTATATAAAATAAATTGAATTAACTAATTTCATCGCATGGATAACAAGCGTTTATTAGGATAGTGAAAAGGTAACCATTCACAATACAGCAGCAATGAACATTACTATGACTCTATAACTGCAGTTCAGAGCTTAAAGTTGGCAGATTGCCCAAAAACATACATTACGTCATTTAACGCTCTGAGAGGAGAACAGCCCACCAGCGGCCGAGCGGTAAAGTCGCTGAACACTGGTAGTTCGGTCCGAGGTTCGAATCCCGCGAACGGGCTGGCTGCATGGGCGTTTTCGTGGTTTTCCCCATGTGTAACGTTTACGAGCCAGTTTCCCTTAGAAAGTCCTCCACGAAGGCATTCCTCTCCTTAGGCAGATAGCCCTCGAGGCTTTGCCATAATCACACACACACACACACACACACTGAGAGGAGAACACAAGCTAATAAAGAAAAGGAAATCATATTAATCATTGCGTCTCGTGACATTCGGAGGTATAAAATATACAAGAAGATGAAAAAATATAAGGAATTGGGAAGATTTCATTATCTGGTTGAAAAAATTTGAAATAAATACACACACATGTTGGATACTCCGCAAAAATATCCATGTAAAATATTACTTAATAAAATGAAGAAAGAAATGTGTGATAAAGATCTGAGCACAAATGCTATCTTTACATAAAACTATGCATATGAGAAAAATATTTACACCAATTACATATGTAAATAGAAGTCAGCACTTTTTATTGCAGTCTATATGAAAAAGATGTTCTGTAATAACAGCCAATGCACAATATTAGTCAAAGTGAACTTTACTAATTTCGATTCGTATACATTTAGTGTGTTAAAATTTCCAATGTACTAACCGCACACTCTTAAGTGTCTACACAAGAAATACTCAACAAACAGAATGAATTTATCTTATTCACAATGAATATATTCAATTTATTCACATATAACTTTTAACAATGGGTATAATCAGAGAACGATATGAATTCTGAATCTTACACTTTCAAAATCAAAAGAATGCAAGCACTGAAAGAAGAAAACACTAGATTCATTGTAACGCTTCCAGTCCCTTTCAGCTCTATAAAAATAAAACTAGACACTTTAATTTTCGTAATCCACAGGTGTTATTAAATGCATAATATTCGAGGCTAATTGTAGCTTGAGTCATTTTCTCGATGTAAAGAGCTATAATATGCCATGAAGATCAATTCAAATATCAATGCGTGATAAAAGTCGCGAAAGTTAAATGTCGACGATTAATTAAACAAAAGCACTATGAGATTTTCTGCTATTACGCCATACAGTTATAACTGCTAAACAAATACAAATTAAAACGTAAACAGCGTACGCTCACATCCAAAAAGATTTAGCATCACAAGAGCAATAGGAGCTCATTGGTCCATTTTCGAAACTCCTCCCTCAGTGGCTATGCTGATGCGCACTTGCGAAAAATGCTCCCGGGAAACTCCCATATCCGGTTAGAAACTGGTTAACGTCAAAATCATTGAAGATAATATTATTTTGCTTAGTCAATTAAGTGTTTCAAACAACGATTTTTTCTTTCATAAGTATTCCACTGTGACTGCCATAGCTTAAAATTATAATAAAAAGCACTGGTTGCTATTTTCGCTTTTTTTTTTTTTTTTTTTTTTTGAACATAGGTAGTCCCCGAAACACTCAATAAGGCAGCCTCTTTTGCTGGAACATCCGCTCTCTAATTGCTGAATACCCCGATATGGGCTTTATCCCAACCAATGTATAAGTTATTTACTCCATCCTTTTTGCATGCCTTCGTGGTGCAACGGTAGCACATTTGGCGCATATTCGAGAGATCCAGTTTCGAGTCCCGGCAAGGGCATTGCTCATGTTTCACCTCTTCTGCTTTAAAATAAATGGCTGCTTCAAATAATGGCTCTACAATATCCCTTATTACAGTTCACTTCTTATAAGACTGTAATAAATATTTTGCAGAATTACTAAATATTTTCTGCAGCTCATAAGTGGCATTTCCTTAAGTTTTTCTATTTTTTTTTTAAATTTATTTTAATTAAAGGATCCTTTTTAATGACAAATACATATAATTTAATTTAAACATAGAGTACTTAATCTTTTTCTTTTAATTAAAAAATAAAATATGTGATTTAATATTGCAGCGTGTCTTTATTGATTCATGTTAAAGGCCAAACTGATTTCTAGCTTCCTGTTTAAGTTCATCATTAGAATTATTATTTAAGTCTTTGAATTCTGATCATTTACAATATTTCTCTCATAAAATAAGTCCTTTTGTGAATTTAAATTCAATTTTACAATTTAAAATTATGTATACTTAAGTTAATTTAACATTACTAGTTTTTAACTTTATTTTCTATTTTATTTTGCAACATGAATTTATAGTTGATAGTTACCTTTAAAAACAGTTTTGACAACATTGATATCGTAAGACCATAATGCGTTAATGTGCCAAATTTCTTCATTGTAACATCAAATATAGTGTTTATAAACGCCATTTCACTTATTAAATTTAAATTATCATTAATTTCGAAGCAGTAGTTTAATTATAATATTCAAGTTTAATTGATGCACAATTAAAAGCATAGGTTGTTTCGAACAAACAGTGCATGGCCAAGTTGCATTTACATTAAAAATAATATAAATTCTGCCTTCCGGAAGTTATTTCCTCCTTTCCAGTATATTTGTCTTTGCATGCTGGCTAAATTTGAGCGACTTTTTCAAAATAAATCTTGAAAAGCATGTGCTTGTTTTCAAAATTTAATTTAGATGTATGTATGCTAGACCACAGATGTAGAAAAATGCGTAATAGATTCAACCTTCCTAGGGTAAAAATGCTATTTTACAATTTAATCAAAGCGGACTCATTCTAAAAATGCTTCTGAATCTACAGTAAGGGCTCATTCTAAAAATGCTTCTGAATCTATAGTAAGGGCTCATTCTAAAAATGCTTCTGAATCTTCCGTAAGCTCTTATCTTCGATTAGTAAAATGTAAAGTATAAGGACTCTTTAAAATTCGTAACAGTTTAAATTACAAAGTAATTAATAATTGAATATTAACGAGTACTTTTTAATGTACCTATCGGGCACATTCGCCGAAATATTTGAAAATATCATCGGTCGTTTACACGTTAGAAAACATAATCTTCACTAACCTGTGTGTTAAATTACCGAAACGCCCGTCGCCATCTTTCCTCCGTCCCGTCCGTTTCCTCCCCTCCCCGTCCATTAACGCGCAAAATGTGTGAAGATTTCAAATGACATCCTTTCTACTTCCTAACAAAGAAGCATCCATTAATTACACAATAACACGCCGAATAAATACTAATTCAGAAGTCAAACAACAAAAATCAGCGTTAATTTACAAAATTTTCACAGGACTAGTTTCGATGGTTTTACCGAACCATCATCTTCAGCTGCAAAACCGCATTTAACGCTGATTTTTGTTGTTTGACTTCTGAATAAGCATCCATTAGCCTTTTAAGACGAGCTGTCTGCAATAAACCGATACAATGCATTTGGTGCACTTGCTACTGCATGCCTTAGGAAGAGGGAAGGAACTAACATCTTCATCTCAGCCGTTTCGTGCAGTTGTGGTCGTTCGAATGAAAAAGCATCTCGGGCGTTTTCGCGTTCAAAGAGTTAATTACCACACCACCAAGATTGGTTCTAGGTGCACTAGAGGATTTTATTAGTATTGCACTCTGCTTAAAAGGAGAAAAGTAATACATAAACGACCAGTATCTTCATGGGATTCGTAACCATATTCCTGGCATCGACCTCTCGATCAGACTCCTCTATTATATTGCATCCAGGATCCTAATTTTGAACATACAGCTGGAATCATTCATTTAATACATATACACAGGGAAAAAAACTACATATCAGTTTTAACATTAATAATTGATAAAATTAACCTGTATTTGGCATGCATTCAAATGAAAAGATTCAATTCATGTCATAACAAATGACAACGCAGCTTTATATAAATTTGTCAAGAAACAGCTTTTATTAGTTGTAAAAACATATCGTAAAACTCTGTGTATTGTTAGATTTATTAATTTATATGCAATAAATACCAACAGTTATAAATTTATTAAGAATTTCATATAATTTTACTCACCATTAACGACCATTAATGCAGTATGGTTCACTGTGGCAGCCGGGTTTCGAGCAACACAAGTGTAATTTCCATTATGGTGAGGTCCAACAGAATTGAAAGTTAAGAATGATGTAAATTCATTAATCATTTCTATTCTTGACTGCAGCTCCAGAGGTATGTCAGCACCATCTTTTAACCAATGTATTGTAATCGGTGGATCCCCAAAGAGAACAGCGCACACCACGATCGAACGCATACCTTCTTCTAAATCACTCGGGAAATTAAATGGTTCGATTTTAGGTCCAACTGTAATGAAAAATAAAGAATTAAAAATTGCAAAATTGTTTGGATATGAAAAAGAAAATTTAAAATATTTTTCTTTCTTCATTATAATCTGTAATCGTGTAGTGTTTCTATTAGTTCAATAAACTAATTATTTAATTTTTTATCTTTCCTGAACTCCTCAACTTCCCCTCACATTTTCTCGCCAGGATGTAAATTTAAAGTAAAGTGAAGTAAATATTTAAATGGGTGAGTCTTGGAGTTTATTCAGAGCGTGCTTTCACTAGGCAGCAAACGTTACGTTTCTGGCATTACTGTTACGCGGAGTTGCTGATACGCCTTTTGGCCATTTGAATAATTATTTTTCCGGGTAGGTTGTCGAGTCAACCTAGTTAGCCGTAATTTAAAGTGTTAGTCCAGCACTACTCTTTTAGATTTTTAGCTTTGAATTTATTGTGCAACGATGTTTGAGTTCCACCGCAGGTTGTCGGTGTTATTGTAAAGCACGAAGTACGTGCCTTTCTGTTCATAGTTGAGAATAATACAGGGTTATTTTCATCCTTCTTCTGTGCTGGTATTATTCCAAGCCTGTCCGAGAAGTCGCTAGGCTGATTAGTAGGATCTAATAGAGTTTATGTGTCCAAAGAGACTTAACTCTTATCCAAGGAGAGTCTATAAACTTTATAGAAGAAAGAACTACTTTGCATGACCTAAAAGTGTTAAAAGGGGACATTGTAATATTGTTTCAAAACAGTAGTAGCTGATTTTAACACTGTCGTTGTTTGGACACGTCGGCAATAAGTACGTGGTGTCATTTGGAGTATTAAATGGATAAATAAATAAAAAGAAAAAAAGAAAAGATCAAACTGTCATTTTTTTTCCATTCCATATTTCGACGTTATTTTTACGGATATGTAGAACATTAAGACTTTATTTCTCTATTACGATTATATTCTACAATTTTATAGCTTCAATTCTTTTAACGCATAATGTTGAAAACGTTGCACAGGCCGTATAAAACGTATAAACAGTATATTTCTCTTACATTTACCGTTTTTCGTCTTTCATACTTTTAGCAGACGAAGTATGCTTATGCATGTAAATGTATTTGAATGCAGAATTTTTTGAAGCGTTTGCTCTTAGGCAGAAAGAAATCTAATAAAAATAAGAATATATATATTAAAAAAAAAAAAAAACTTGAAACAAAAATGCTTAAATCCTCTTTCTAAAAGTTATCGATGGTTAAATCTTATCAACGACTACACGATGTCGTAAAAAGAACTGTAGCCCGTAAAGAATCCAAAATGATTCCCCACTTGAATAAAAAACATTTTCAGAGTGATAAAGGTATTCTTATTATTTTCGCCATTTGGGCAAACCCATGTATATTGCTCTTTATATTCATGTTTCAAACTAAGCAAATGCACGAAATTTAATAGTTACACAAGAGAAAATTTAGCACAGCTTATAAGGTATTTCTGCCGCCTTCTTAGGATGCTTAAGTAGTGTAGTGGTCAGCAAGCTCGGCGCGTAATCGAGAGAGGCCCGTGGTTCGACTCTCGGCAAAGGCATTGCTCGTTTTTCATCTCTAATGCTTCGAAATAAACAAATGTCTCTACAGTGCGGCCCGAACTAAAAAAGGTGGTGGTGGATGATTTTGTACCACCATGACTTGGCGATTGGTTTCCCTAATCCCCAGTCGCCTTTTAAAAGTGGGAGTATATAAGGTATTTATCTCGCCTTTTTAGCAAGCCTCCGTAGTGCAGTGGTCAGTGTACAAGCTAAAGCATCCATTTGCAAAAGCTCGCGATTTTATTGTTATTATTATTAATAGTAGTAATAGTGGTAGCAATGTTATATGTATATAAATACACGTGTATGTGTGTATGTATATGTATGTAAGATAAGAAATTGTAAGACTCAGAATTACTAACCGTAAGTTGGTTTCGTCCCGTTTCTGTCTTAAAAATACTAATATAGAGTTTTAAAGTGAGTCACTGAAAATTAATCCTTTTCGTGGCTCTGTAATTATGCTGCAATGCGATGAACTCTCAGCCAATCAGATTTAAAAAAAATAATTGTCTATAAATACCACTTCTGCTATTTGCGTAAGTCCTTCCTTTCTATACTACACTCGATGCTGCTTATAAACGTGTCGTTCTGCCACTCTGCCTGTTCGGCCACATTTGTCTGTCAACATCATTCCTTGCATATAAGCTAGCCATATTCATAATCGCCAAATTTGGCGATGTTTGACGATTTGATTTCAAATTTGGCGTCAAAATGAGTCGCCAAAACCGTTGTCAGCTCGGTGATATCTCGCCAAATTACCGAGACAACCATTTACTCAATGTTAAATGCACTTGCCCTTGTGTTCTTTATGTTTCTGACATAGCTTTTTCTTAAAATTTGTTCCGAATAATAATAATAAATAATAATACATATAATTACACTAAAATACCTATCTGTGCACAAAGAATGTATATGCTTGAAAATCTCTTGCTTGAAATCACGCGATGCACTTACTTTTTCTGTTACATTTATATTTTAGCTATTAATGGAAATCTGTATTTAAACTTTGAAATGATGAATTTTGGCCCTTTTTTCTGTTGAATCATGCTTGCCTAATAATTAAACAGAGACTTATAAGCATTTCACTTAATACGGGTCCAACTGCCCTTCAGGCGTTTGTTCCCATCTTCGGTAAATAAATAATAATAATAATAATAAAATTCAGATTTTAAATTACGTAGAAAGGGGCATTTTTTTAACGTTTTTTGTGTTATTTTTATTTATTAAATATCATGTTCTACGTACTCAAACCATAACATTCAGTTCAACAGCAATGTCGCAAAATAATTTTTAAATGAGCATATCTTTAGAATTTTCGATAGAGAGTCTCGCGCTGGACATAAAAACGTTTTCTTTTTTTCGTGTAGTGTTGCCATTGCTCACTTTGAAATTGTTTAGTTTATAATTCAAAAATTCGTTGAAGTGTTACAAAATATGAAATCGATAATAAAACAAATTTCAAATTCAAATTATGGCTTCTAGATGCCCATTTTCTATGGAAGATTACATTGTTCAAATTGTGATGCTTTTAGATACCGTTGTGTTATCACAATGCGATAAACATACATACATTTATGCAGATTCTTAATTATTAATTTCTTTAAATACAATACAGGGCGATAATATTTGTTGGCAACAATTTGAAAAGTGAAACAACGCTTTTATATATGACTAGCTCATATCGTGAATCGATGCAAAATGACAAAACGAAATTAATAGTCCTTCAGAGCAAATTGCTCCTTTGAACTAAAAACTATTCGCAACCTCTTAAAAAAAAGTCAGAGAAATATTTTCATTATTTTTTTTTCATTTATCATCGACTTTTAATTGCTTTGCCAGAACTAAATAAAAGCAATTCCGTCGGATTCATCTCCTTATAAAATTATTACTGTTTGCTTTGCGCTCTCAAAATCTATAAGAAGCTTAAATTGAAAATGTTGAAAGCACTGAAATATAAATTTTTAATTTCTCAGATGAATGATTTTCTTGCTTAGTACTTCAAAATTAATATATTGCACATAAAATGAAGATTGCTATATATGTATTATAAGAAAGAGGAATAAATAGTACAGACATCCGTCTAATTATTCAATTTACCGTAATAAAAATCTGAAAATTTTTTTAAAAAGGTAAAGAAAAGGGCAGAGGATAATTTTGTTTAGAATGATTTAATTTACGTGTGACTTCAAGAAATATAATGCCCCTTGCAGCTGCCTACTGAGAAATTGTACATTACCTTTGAAAGAATAAATTCCAGGATAGCGACCTGTCAATTAACCAGATTGTGCAGATAATCTCGATAATCAGAATCTGCAAGATTATCTGGGTCTTGCTTGAAAGAAATTTATTTGTTAAATGATGAGAAAATTTCTTCTGAAAATACAGAAAAGAAATAAAAGAGAATACGTAGGACTAACAGAGGTGACTGCAGATAATGTCGCAATATTATTCTGACAGAAATAAATTACTACGTCGGAAAAAATAAGTTTCCGAAATACAGGCACAACCAAAAACATTTTTATATCTGTTTTCAAGAGGGAAGACCGAATGCATTTATTCTCCTGATTAAATTGCTTGAAAATACAGAAAAATTATTAAAAGCGTTTTCATATAAATTTCAATGCCAGTTATTTTTCAATCCTGTGTACTTTTTTAACTACAATTACAGGTAGTAGGCAGGACACTGAAAGTTCCCACCCACTTCTATGTATAGTACCACTGCAATAACTGTGTACAGTCTGTTTATCATAAGAAAAGCTCTCCCCAGTTAGTCTGCAGCTGTCTGGTGCCATAGAAACGAGCCTTGGCCCATTTTAAGCAGGGATGTCTTGAAGACGAAAGATAAACTCATTTCCCTTCAGCCAACAGTCACCGAAAGCAAAGTAACAATAAAGCAACCCTTAGTTCGCCCCTATTTGAAATATGCTAGCCCTGTTGCTATAGCGACCGCCACCCGCCAGACATTGTGGCGGAAGGTATTCTTCTGGTATTTTGAGGAAGAGCGCCCCGCAGAGAGACGGTCCGAGGTTTTCTACCTCACTTCCCTTACTAGCAACATCTCGAGAAGATTTTCAGCTCGCTGTGTAGTTGATTACCCGTGTAGTTTGAGAGCCTCATACCGCATAGACACTATACGCATATACACGTCCATAGTTTCTCCGAAATTTCAGCTTAGGCCGATGGGTATGACAGTCAGCGCAACTAACGCTTATACTAGTTGGGCGTCTTCTTTTTAAATACATTAGGATTAACCGCGATTTTAATTTAACCGTGGACGTCGTTCTCAGATTCCTCCGGTTAAACCGTGGTATAACCAGAGGAACCGTGGTATAACCTCCTTGTAGATGAAGGTATAACGTACCTTCATTTACAAGGAGGTGTAACAGAAAATATTACGAAGTAATGACTATCGCCTATAAGAGAGTGTCAGTATAATATGAACGCTGGGGAAT